TTATGTAGGCCCACTCTGCATATTGGTATGTTTTTACATAATGTTACTATACAGGTGTAGCTCCATGTGGCCTGTCTCTTATACACATCTAGATGTGTATAAGAGACAGCTTCTGAAGTGCCTTTTAATGACTTTTTAAGTTCTCAATATTCAAGGTTTCTGCTCTTGAAAACGGTCAGGTAAATTTTTCTCATTTGTATTACAGAAAATATGCCTTATGTGCGTATACATACATAAAAAATTGAGTAATAGCATATGACATGAATCGATGAGAAAATAGACGTAATTAACGCTTTGTTATCAAATAATAATTTCGTAATGACATCAAATGGATCCTAACACGAATGTCGAAAGTAAACATTGTAGTACGAAACGGTATTCTTGCGATTAGCTACATCGAACGTTGTTTGCTCGCGATGATAAATTAGTCTTCAAGTAAAATATTATGGTATCATGGCTTACAGCGTAGTAGGCCTATATAAAATTATAATCCGCTTTAGGCCCCTAATTAAGGATGAATGCGGGCAATTATTTGGAACTAGCGATGCGGACTGATCTCGTCTACAATCGCACGAATTGATCTAACAAAATTGTTTTGTGTAGGCCTAATATCAGTATGGTGGATGAAAGAGATCGCCTGTCATAACGTAATTTGTTAACGATGTTATCTCCCAAATGTATTCATTTTCATGCCGATGATCGTTCTTAGTACTACCTGCATATGCCTATTGATTTCTAAAATAATTCTGGTTTTAAAATGATATTAACAATTAAGGCCCTTAAATTAAATGCTACTGTGACAAATTGATTGATTTTAATGACAGACTGATCGAATGATTTTGCATTTTAAAAATAATTATCATGATCCAAAAAGATATAAATTTCTAACTATACAACTCAATCTTGACATCATCCTATTTAACTTAACCTTATCCCAGAGCTGAATATTTTTCGGTAACGCCCCTACTGAAATAATGACCGTCGCTACAAATAGTTTAAGGTCCTATCGTACCCGTTTAGTTTACATATCTTGATTCAGTAGGCCTACTAAAAACGACCAAATTAAAGGTATTACGTACGAACTATAATTTTTTTTAAATTTCCTTCACATCTAACAGCAAGTACACTCGCCGCTTACAGGATGAGAATGATGCTTTATAAGTTAAACCGCTTTTTGAGGCTTAGGGAGTGGAGTTATTTTTAGTCGTGAGAAAAATTCCTGCAGTTACAGGAATTGAACCCATCCTGGGATCAGAAGGCAAAAGCATCTTAACCACTTAGCTATACAACCCCACTCCATAGTTTAAATTGATTGGGTTTTTGTATGTATTCTTACAGTATCTAATAGCCTTTATAATTACAAGTGTTGTTATTAGTTTATGTGTATAAAACTGTTAATAAAATTTAAAAATAATAAGAAATGATATAAAAGTGGATGAAACCCCTACAAAAGAGAAAAACAAAGCAGATTTTAATCTGTTCACTGAGGGGGTGATTTCATTCACTCTGTGGACACTAAAAACACATTATATTATTAAAGCATTTGTGGCATGTTTAGAGAATAAATTAGGCCTATGAACCTTGCTACGATGTTGGCGGAGAACATTAATGTACGGTACCGGTACCATAGGCCTTTATAGATGAAAAAAATTATGAAGATGATTAACTTACCAAGTAGCAATAATTTGTGGAAACTGACTTGAAAAGTTACATAACTTATATTGTTATAATAATAATAATATTTATTATAGAGTAAAAAGTATACATACAATATTCTTGCCAAGAGTAAGTAATAGGCATAAGCCCAAACAGTAAACTGCTCTTACTCCATCATCAAAAACAAATACAGTGACAATACAATATAAATATATACAAAAAAGTAAATTCAAAATTAATTGATTTAACTAAAACAAAATGAAAAACAGAGATAATTAATAGTTATTATTAGTATTAATATTTTGAGATCAAGTGTTTGTATTTATTATAAATTTTATAAGTTCATATTTGTATGTTTATTAGATCTGTGGTAAGAAAAGTTTGAACACCCAAAGGAAGGGAAGTATCGAAAAAAACATGTTATGGTTAAGTTAAATTGGTAATATTTGTTGACAACTAAACCACGCCTATAGAAAATAATTTGTCTTGGTAGTCACCCAGCATACCTTTGGAAATTGCCACAGACTGGCAAGTTGAACAGACGGCGAAAACAAATCATATCTCAGCTGTACGGGTTTTTAAAGAATGTTAATTCGCATATCACGACAACAGAGCTGGATTAATCGATACATGGAACGACGTTTGGCATTAAACTTGACAGTTCATGATAATAATGATGGTTATGGAGATAATAACAATAATAATCAAAACATGCATATGTTAGCCAGAAAGAAGGTGATACCTACTACTAATGACGATAAATGATTACGATGATGGTGATAATGATTATAGGATCAAGTACCCGATTCAATATCATAGAATGATGATCATAATAACCATCGACAATGATCAGACAAACACAATGACAATCCACATGACTATGTATATCATTACTTCATTCGATTTTATTCAATATGCTCTATAAAATACGAAACAGAAACAATTATGAACTAATAAAGTCACAAAATGCTTATAAATCGGGGATAAACCTAAAATTGCGACGAAGACAATTATTTCCATAGGGTTACTGATTTTAGCAGCCAAATATCCATGAATAGAAATTGATGAACTCATCATAATGTAGCGGGATTCGAACCTGCAGCCTCTCGCTATAAAGGCGAGTATCATACCGTCGGTAGCGTAATAAATTTCTGTGGTCTAACAGTATGACACACACAGGCGCGGATCCAGTAGGAGCACGGGGGAAATGCCTCCCTTTTGCCTCTAAATTTTAAAAAATATCAATGCATATCAATGTGCTACTCACTTATCTATTCTGAACCTGTTTCCACCGCCGCCCCCCCGTTTGAAGTTATTGATCTGCACCTGACCCACCATAATAGTTAGATCAAGAGAATACTAGTTTATATAAAAATACTAATATATACCGTATATATTATATATATATATATTTACAGAAGTTACTGTTACTCTTTGCATAAACTATATGTACACACACACACTCATATACATATATACATATATACGTACATATACAAATATACATACATATATACATATATATGTGGCAAAGACAAGCCAAACCAGTCACTCGTCGAAAAAAAAAAAATCGATTTTTAGTTATTCATAGAGTGTTAGAGAGTAAAATAATAGCTATAAAATGGTAAAAAAATCATTCAAATCGGATATTTCCTTATGAAGTTACAAGCGTTTAACCACACAGCTGTTTAAAGAATAATATATGAGAAATCAGCCTTCAAAGTTTATGATTTCAAGCAATTCTCATGCAAAAATTATCTTTAAATCCTTAAAAAGTGTTGTTTTAACATTGAAAATGGGGGAAAATAACAGCATAGGATGGTGTGTAGATATATAAAGGTTAGTTAAGTGCAATAAAATAGATTTTTAAAAATATGACATTCTAGCATATTTTGGCCATGTATATATTGAAGAGTGGGTTTGCATGTATGCTCCAAGTGAAATGAAATGCAAAAGCAATGAAAAAACGGTGTACAATCATTGAAAGTTGACTTGCGGAACACAAATTTATTAAGCTATAACAAAATCAAATGGATATTTCGATAGCTCCTGCTATCTTCATCAACGTTAA